CGCCTGCCCACAGCCTGTGATGAGCTGCAACCACTGCCACAGGACCTGTGAGGGGTTCGGTGCCCAGATCACGGCTGGGAATCGAGAGGCTCTTTAGGCAGGTGCCCCTCCATTGCTCATGGAAACGTGGTGCCAGTCCCCTGGCTCCCCCAAAACAGCCCTAGCATGGTCACAGCTTGCAGGTTATCTCCTCACCTTGCCACACACACGTGATCAAGCTCACACACAGCTTTTGACAGCAAGGCGTGCAAGACATGCACGCTCACTCCCAGGGAGCCGGGCTGCGTCCCTCTCCTCAGCCATAGGCCTCCCCCCCACAGGGGATCAGGTAATTGAACAACCACCCAGGTGAGCTGCGCACCTCAGCACCCACCTCTGCCCCACCAAAGCTCTTCTCTGCCTTCCACCAAGCACGGTCTCCAGCATCTCGCGACTCCCCCGGCTGCCTTTCACACCCCCTCGACCTTGAGGAGGTTATCAGCAGACCCGGGGGCAGGGCGCTGGGACAACAGGGACTTTGCTAACTCACCCTGGGGCACACCATTGCTGCCGCCTCACTCGGAGTCCTCTTCAGGGATGTGACAACCGTCCCCGTGACTCCCACCACCTACACAGAGCGGCAGAAGGCAGCTCGCTTCCCATCGGGCCTGCCAGCTGGCGCCGGCTCCGCAGAGGTGTTGTATTGCATCCCGACCCCGCAGGAATGAGCAGGACGGCAGCTCACATGCAGGTGCCATCCAGGAGAAAGACGAGGGCTGCTGCCCCCTGCCAGCCCCTCCGCCCGGCCGCTCGCCCAGGGACAGCCAGAGAAACAGCCAGAGAAACAGCCAGAGAGGGACAGGAGGAGAGCCCAAACCCAAGGAGGGGATATTTTTAATTACGGCACAGGAAATCCCTCTGCTGATAGGTGGTGACAAGCAGCGGAGCGGTGACAGAGCACGGCAAGCATCAGCAAACCGAGAGCAGGCTGGCTCAGGGGATGGAGGGCACAGGGGAACCGGGGCAGAAGGCACGGGCTTGTCCAAAACCGCCAGCTGTGGAGTGCCTCCACCGCCCCTACAACGTCCCTCTGTACCAGGGCTCTTGCACCCCGGGGAAGGTCCTTCCCTCGGAGGCACATCCCCGCTGCACACCCACAGCACCTGACGCTGCGGGAGCGCTCAGCAGAAGGAAGGAGGCTGTGCCCCTCGTGACGTATTCCCCAGAAAAAGCCACTTTGCGCGGGGATTCAGTAAGGCCTGCCCCACCCAAGCCCCACACGTCTCCGCAGGCTCCTCCTGGCCCATGGGAGGGGACGTGCCCACCATCCCCAGGAAGGCTGTGGAGGTGGAAGGGGCCGCCCAGTCACCCAGCCTCTCCGCAGGGCCGGCAGCGCGGCAGGCACCAGGAGAGGTCCCCCACAGCCAGGGCAGGGAGCTGGGGAGGGCTGGCAGCCAAGCCTCCGTGCTGCCTTCTCCATGGCATGTGCCGCCGAGCTTGGGGAAAGGCAGTTCCAAGAAGCATGTTTTGAAGCCCTTACTTCTAAGAAAAGGAAGCGTTTGCTGAACAAGAGATAAATGGCATACGGTGAACCGAGAGCTATCGGGTGCTACAGACGGAGAAGAGCATGACAAGAGCCCTGCACGGGCAGGGAGGGGACACAAGCCCCTCTCCTGCCCCTTGGGAACAGAGCAGCAGCTGCTGGAGATGCAGCTGGGGGCCGCAGGGGACTCAGGAGCAGAGAGCGCCTTGCCCTTCCTTGGCGAAACCATCCCCAGGAGCTGCAATAGCTCAGCCCCTACACAACTGCAATCCCAGATGTTTCCCCTGGGAATGGCGATCCCAGATCAGGGGGAGTGGGAAAACAGGCAGGAGTGTCCTCCCTCCCCATCCTGGGGGCGGGTTGAAGGTTAGGGAAAGGCAACTTGCTCAGTTCCCACACCACCCCAGGCCTCGGCTGCTCTGCACCTGAAGCCCAGCACTCCCAGTACCGATTCTGACCTCTCTGGCCTGGTGTTTGGGATCTCAGGCTTGCCCAGACACGTCCAGATATTTCTGGCCTCCCCCAGTCACCTTTATCTGAGAGGAAATATTTGGAATTCCTGAGTCTCACAAGGACTATGGTAGCAACAGCACGTCAGTGTCTCAACCACCCTCTCCGTGTGCCCGTGGGCCTCTTCCACCCCAGAGAGGACAGGCTGTTCCATCACCGAACACCCGTCACATCCCCTTCCCCACCCCGGGTGACAGACACGTCCGAGAGGAGGATGCTCTGGGGCAGGAGATGAGGAAACAGCGAGAGGTTATGCCTACGCAAAAGGCAATCCCCTGGCTTCGCCTCTCCTCCCCCAGCACTGGGGAAGGACACAACATTTTCTTGCTGCAGCCTAAACCAGCGCTTGCTGGGGAGGACTCCCCTCAAGCTGCACGTGCTGCTTGCAGGAGACAGAGGACCTGGAGATCCAGACTCTACCGGTGCCCACCACCCCGGAGAGCAGGGGCAGGGAGGTTCTGCAGTGCCAAAGGCTCTCGAGACACCTGCAGCGCCCCAAACCTCAACCCACCACCCGGTGGGACACAGCAGCCATTTAAACACTGCCCAGTGACCATACACGATACTGCATTAGAGACAAAAGAGGAGTGGGTCTGACCCGAAGTGCTCTGTCTCGGGTGGGAGAGCAGATTAATCAGGCACGAGGTCCGGCTGAGACAGCGTTCACATCCTAGCCTGGAAACGGGAAGACCCAAAGTTTCAGCCTCTTGCTGGTACCCACCACCAGAGGTTCAGCTGGTTTCATTCACCAGCACTGTCCGAAGCAGCTCCCCCGGCCAAGCGGGAGGGAGAACAGTTGCTAGAACCCATTCAGGGCAAGCAGAGCAGAGCAGGTTCCTCTTTCAAGATAAGCCCCAAATCTGGGGGAAAGAGGATTCAGTAAGCGACACCGAACCATGGGGGCAGGTGAAGGAAGCAGATGTGAGCAATGAATCCCCATCCGGTCTCTTGTGAGCCAGGGGTAGAGCGGGAAGGGAAAGGTGGTGGCTGCTGGGGAGGGCAGAGTTTGGGTGCTCAAAGCTTCCCTTGCACGGGGAGGTGAAGGGTATGGAGGTCACCGAGACACCGGCACGAAGCTCGGAAAACCAGCAGAGAAGAGACAGGCTCTACCGGGACTATTCATGGTGAACCAGTGGCACTTGGTCTGACTTCGACACGGAGACTCTGCCTCCAGCAGGAGCTACACCCCCAACACCCTGCCTGCCTGTCTTTGAGATAGTCACCCACAGCAACCAGCTCCACACATACAAAAGCCCTTCCCACCCAAGGATCTTAATGTGTTTTATCAAAAATCGGTTCTCCAAAACCTCCTGCGGGATAAGTCAGCATTGTTCCCAGACAGATCAACAGAGGTGCGGAGAGGTTAAGTGCTTTTACTGGAGTTGTATACAAGCCAGCAGCGTGAGCCACAGCATCTGACTCCCAATCCAGGCATTCTCGTCACGAGGCAATGTTTCACTTGAAAACAAGGCTGTTTCTGTTATACCTTCGCCGTAACTACAGCTGTGTTACTGCTAAGAGGTCTAACACCAATCGCCGGCCAGGAGTGGAGTCATCTGGATGA